CTCACTGGTGTGATAAAAAAGGATGTAGCTTTCAAGTGGGGGCCAATGCAAGAAAAAGCTTTTGCCAAGCTGAAATACAGCCTTACCAATGCCCCGGTATTTGTACTTCATTATTTCGATAAAACGTTTCAACTTGATTGTGATGCTTCAGGGTTAGGCATTGGAGCTGTTCTTACACAAGGGGGGCAAGCCAGTAGCCTACTTCAGTGAGAAACTAAGCGGAGCTATGCTTAACTATCCCATGTATGACAAAGAACTGTACGCCTTGATGAGATTGTTGGAGACATGGCAGCATTACTTGCTTTCCAAGGAGTTTGTCATACACTCGGATCACGAGACACTCAAGCACCTCAGAGGCCAAACCACATTGAAGAGGAGACACGCAAGGTGGCTAGAGTTCATAGAAACGTTTCCCTACATCATCAAGTATAAGAAAGGGAAAGAGAACATTGTAGCGGATACCCTTTCTAGACGATACACTCTCATTACCACCATGGAGGCTCGTGTTATAGGATTTGAACATATAAAGAAGCACTATGAGGAGGACCAGGACTTTGGGATAATATTTCAAGAGTGCAACAAAGCCTCATCATGTCCATTCTATATACACAATGGCTTTCTTTATTTAGATAAACGTTTGTGTATACCGCAGGGATCTATGAGAGAGCTGCTGATCAGAGAATCACATGGAGGAGGGCTTATGGGACACTTTGGAGTAGATAAAACTCTAAGTGTGGTGGTGGAGCATTTCTTTTGGCCACACCTCAAGAGAGACGTTGAGCGTTTCTGCTCTAAGTGTAGTACATGCCTTGGAACCAAATCAAGGTCCCACCCTTACAGTTTATATATGCCTTTGCCCATACCTAACCTTCTTTTGGAAGATCTTTATATGGATTTTATGTTATGATTACCAAAGATCAGGGGCAAAGATTTAATATTCGTGGTGGTTGACCGCTTCTCAAAAATGGCTCATTTCATACCGTCTAGCAAGACGAATGATGCAACTTAAACCGCTGATCTTTTCTTTAGAGAAGTAGTGAGGTTACATGGGATACCGAGGAGCATCGTGTCTGATAGCGATACAAAGTTCTTGAGCCAATTTTGGAGAACACTTTGGAGGAAGTTAGGGACAAAGCTTCTGTTTTCTACAGGACAAAGCTTCTGTTTTCTACAATATGCCATCCCCAAACTGATGGCCAAACCGAGGTGGTTAATCATACACTTTCAGCTCTTTTAAGAGCCACGGTTGGTAAAAACTTAAAAGTTGGCTTTATTTCATTCCATATGTTGAATTTGCCTATAACCGAGCCACCCACTCTCCTACTAAACTTTTACCTTTTGAGATTGTTTATGGGTTTAAGCCAACTACACCGCTAGATCTTGCACCATTACCGCCAGCAGAACAAGCCAGCCAATACGCGTTAAACAAAGCCGAGCTGATCAAGAAACTTCACCAGAATGCTAAGGAGAACTTGGAGAAGAAGACGTTACGAACGAATTTGAACGTTGACAAGAACCGCAAGGAGGTCATATTTGAACCCGCCAAATGGGTTTGGTTACACATGAGGCCGGAGAGGTTTCAGAACCAAAGAAGAGCAAGCTGTCACCAAGAGGAGATGGACCCTTCAAAGTCCTTGAATGCATCAACAACAATTTGCGTACTGTTTAGAGCTTCCAGATGAGATGAACATTTCTAATAGTTTTAATGTAACTGATTTAGCGATGCAGATACAGTTCTGAGGTCAGAACCTCTTCAAGAGGGAGGGAATGATGAGGACCTAAAAAATGTTATTTATCTAAACTGTTAAAAAAGAATCGAGTTTTAACCGTTTAGTAAGATATTGGGTTAATTGAAAGTAATAAAAGCAAATGTTAATATATAATTAGAAATTTAAGATTATATTTTTCTTTTCAATTAATTTTATTAATAGAGAAAAAGATTAATAATTTTTGCCGGCATTAATAAGATAACAAGAACTCAATTTAATACTATATTATTAAACAGTTGCACATACCGTACAATTTCATAAAATTGTAAACTTATGATATATAAAGTTTGGTTGTCATGTAAGATAAGTAAATAAAAACTGTAGTTTTTTTATTTATTTATGGGACATTTCATTTAAACCTATATGTTTATGTTCAGTTATTCTGAGGTACATTTTCTTCTTCTAAAATTGAAGAAATGATAAATAATACTTGTAGTTACATGTTGTGATTATAAGAGGACGCCTCTCCAAGCATATACGGCTATGTAATCTCAACTATCAAATAATGTTTTGTTTATCATCGTTTTAAGTAACTAACGCAGAACATCTATGGTTATCCTCGCTTTCTTTGCATGCTAGTTTTTTTTTTTGATAACTGCGAATATATATACCAAAAAACGGAACGTTTCCAATTATAATAGCTTGGCGTAGCTCTAAACTAACAACTGAGCCTAAAAAAAGGTGTAAAAAAGTTCAGAAGATAATACTAATGCCACTAGAGACTAAAGAGAAAACAGAATGAAACCAGGAGCAGAAGCAGCTACTCATACCGCAACCAGGCCGAGAGAAGCGTTGAAGCTCGGGCTCTGTTTGCGGCGTGGAGAGCGTTGCGGGTGAAGCGGTCGATCTGTCGGAATGAGACTTCAGGAGAGGCAGAGATCCCGTTGTGAATCATTGAGTTCCTTTCTTTCCTGATAAAGTAGACTGTTGCTTGGACGGTAAGCAGTTTGATGATCTTTGGCATTCGATGAGAGGGACCTAGCATCCATGTGATGAGGTCAGACCAGGAAGCGAGAAGGATGTTCTGATCCCCTATGCGAGGAGTAATCATCCGCCAAAGCTTCTCACTGAACTCGTAATAAAGGAAGATGTGGTCTCGTGTTTCCACATGAAGGTTACAAAGGCAGCATGAATCTGTAGTACCAATGCCCCATCTGATCAGTCTGTCACACACAGGGAGTCTGTCTTTGTTTGCCACCCAGAAGTTGAAAGCATGTTTGGGGTTGTGTCCTTTGAACCACACCGCCTTAAACCAAGGCACCGCATGACCCCTTGGTTTTAGCTCCTCCCAAGTATGCGCTGTGGTGAAAAGCCTCTTAATCCCGCCAGTTTTCCAGAGGAATAGGTCACTTCCTTTGGAGGCATCTGGAATAGCCGTTACTATAAGAGCCGTTCTGAGCTCGCGAAGTTGATCAGACCTGGTTCTAGACTGGGCAGAGGCCAATCTCCTGCTGGACAGGCTTGAGAAACAGTATTGTCCGCTGGAATGCCCAACCTTCTAGGACCAGATTGCCTCCATCATCTCAATAAGAGGCCCAACCTCAAGCCAATTATCATACCAAAAGTTGCAAGATCTTCCGTCTTTTAAGTCGCAGACTAAAAAACGCCGAGCAATAGGTCTGAGAGCCAATAGAGATTTCCAGACCTAGGATGAATTCCCATTATCCAGTACCTGCCAGAAACTTGATCGTTTAAGTCGATGTTCCTTGTTCCAGGCAACCCAAAGGGAGCCGCTTGATGAGAAGAGAAGCCATATAAGCTTAAGATTAAGCACTTTATTCCACAATGAGAAGTCCCGTAAGCCCAGACCCCCCTCCTTTTTTTGCATACAAACTTTCTTCCAGGCAATCTTAACCCCGCTGTGTTTTGAAATGTCTCCCGACCAAAGATAACTATTGCAGATCGATTCCAACAACTTCAAACAACCCTTCGGAATAGCAAAAGCAGCAAGCCAGAAAATGATAGAGCTGTAAATTACAGAAGAGATCAGCTGAAGTCGACCTGCAAAGGAGAGGCTTTTCGCCGACCAGTTGGAGAAGCGACTTTTAACAGCATCTACAAAGGGTGAGTATTCTACTTTCCTGAGTTTCTGGTGCATTAGAGGCAAGCTGAGATACCTGATTGGGAGAGAACCTAGGAGGAAGCCATGGGAACAAGAGGTTGCAGTTTCCGCCTTGTTCAGACCTGCTAAAAATAAAGCCAACTTTTCTTTGTTCATCTCAAGACCTGAGAGAAGAGAGAACTCCTCGAGAGTGGTGATAATTTCTTAAAGGGAACTAGTTTTGCCGCCATAGAAGATCATCACATCGTCAGCAAATGAGAGATGGGAGATCTTCGGGTTGTGAGCCTTCAGGTGATACACAATAACCCCTGGTCTGTATTTGGAGGTGAGCAGATTTGCGAAAACTTCCATCGCCATCACAAAAAGGTATGGAGAGAGTGAATCTCCTTGCCTTAAGCCTCGATTCCCTTTAAAGTAACCGAATATCCCCCGATGATGCTGACTGAAAAACTAGTAGTAGTGAGGCACTGATGAATCCATTTGATGAACAGGGGTGGGAAATCTGCTGCTCTTAGCACCTCCATAATAAACTTCCATCTTACAGAGTCAAAAGCTTTCCGCATGTCCACCTTTATGAGCCCCCTACGGGATGTGTTTTTCTGATTATATCCCTGAACTAGCTCGGTGGCCAAGAGAACATTTTCAACTAGCAGCCGACCTTTCAGAAATGCAGACTGGGAATTAGAGATTATATGGCTTGGAGGCGCTTTGCAAGAATCCGCGAGATCACCTTATAAACCGTGTTACAGCAAGAGATTGACCTGAAGTCTTTGACCTTTTCTGCTCTCGTATGCTTAGGGATTAGGGCAAGCACGGTTGAGTTGATCTGTTTGAGCAACTGCCCTGAGGAAAAGAATTCTAGTACTGCATCAGTGAACTCATCTCCAACTGTGGACCAGGCGCCGCGGAAAAATTCAAGAGTGTAGCCGTCGGGTCCGGGAGTTTTATTCAACGGCAGAGAGAATAGTTCATTCCTAATATTGTCGGCAGTAACTGGAGCGGACAGAATAGCTTGAGAGCTCGAGTCACACCTGAAAGGAGTCAGGTCAGCAATGTGATGTAGTGCATCCGTTAGGAGAGGATTGACAGCACTACCGAGGAGGTTTGAGTAGAATTCGATGCAACATTGCTGGATTTCACCCATAGTCTCAATCCGAATACTGGATGAGTCAATCAGATAGTGAATCTGGTTCATTGATCTTCTGGCCGCCATAAAGCGATGGAAAAACGGTATTTTTGTCATCACACTCAATCCAAGTTACTCTGGAACGCTGCTGTAGAAATCTCTCCTCTGCGAGAGCCAGATCAGACCAAATCCTATGAGCTTCCCTCTCCAAGGAGGCTAGGGCTGGAGTGGGAGAGGAAAGGAAGTTATTTTGACAGGTGCTTAGCTTGTGGAGGGTATCTGATACTCTCTTCTCTAGGTTTGAGAAATGATCTCTGTTTATATCTTTTATGGTCCATTTGATCATCTTCAACTTCTTGATCAGGCATAACATCTTTGTGCCATCAAACTGTAACTGCTCCCACGCAGCATTTATTCGTGGGAGAAAGTCCTGATGCTTGGCAATGAAGTTGGAGAACTTGAAAGACAGATTCAAAGCTTCCTGAGGTCTGCCGAGATGAACACAAGCTAGGCTGTGGTCGAAAAAAACACTTTCCCCAAAGTGACTAAAGGAGAGAGGAAAAGAGAGCAACCAGGTGTTGTTGACCAAAACACGATCTAGCTTCTTGACAATAGGGTTGTGTGGCTGATTGTTCCACCAAGTAAATTGGTTACCTTTGTGGGTGAGGTCAAAAAGTCCAGAAGAGAGCACACAGTGACGAAACTCAGACATGCCCCATAAGATCCTAATTCTTCCCCGGGAGTCGTCTGAAGGGTTTAGGGATTGGTTAAAGTCCCCCAACACAGCCCAGGGGTTACAAGAAACTCTCGGTTCCACTGCCATAAGCTGTAATTCATCCCAGAGTTCTCTTCTGCCATATTCACAATTCAGAGCGTATACAAAAGTAATAGACATCTCTCGCGTTACACCCGAGAGCTTCACCGTACAGCTCATGGCTTGCTTCAACTTATGGATCACCGTTACCGTGGCAGAAGGATCCCAGATGACCCAGATTCTTCCAAGTTCAGAAAATTCATAGTTGCTTACAAACTTCCATCCCGGGAAAGAGGATTGAATGATCTAGAGAGACTTCTGCTCTTTCACTCTAGTCTCGATTATACTACCAAAACAGGTTTTTAAGGGCCTAAATCACCTACGAAAATTGCTACACCGAATTGAGCTACTGAATCCGCAGACGTTCCAACAAAAAAAGTCAACCTTCATTGAGAATTATAAGAGTTTGGGGCCCTAGCCCCGATCTTTTGCCCCTGTCTTCTTTGCTTTGCGCTTCTTCTGCGAAAGGACTTCAATGAAGCTATCTTTTACCTCAGGATTGTCGTCCTCCTCCGAATAGTACCTCTGTTCATCTGGACTAGATTCAGTGTTAGACAAAAGGGATTTTTTAGACTCTGAAGAGGAGTGGGGGGCTGATGGCTTTTTCCTTGAGGAATTCATTCTCAACCGGTAAGAGTCCTCGACAGCAATTTTTTTTCCCTCAGCTTTGGAAACACCCCTCTATCCCGGAAAAGGTGGCTCCACATAAGCAATGCTTGGTTCCCTTAGGGATTGCACCTTCTTCCTTCGGGTTATCTCGGAATTCTTGTCGGATTTTTTTGCTCTAGGGCACTCCTCAGAGGGGTGCATTGTGAACTTACAGCCTGAGCAAGTAATTGGTGCCGACGGGCATCGACGAATAGAATGGCCAATCTGATTACAGTGTTCACAAGTAGGTGGGAGCGGATAAGACTTCAATCCTCTGCGTTTTGACCTGATTGGAATCGCGCGTAGACAAACTCCGGAAGCAGGCATGACAGGTCAATGATGGTGAGGATTCGGGCAACTTCGAGGTTCGTCGTGCTTAAAGTTGTGGGGTGACATTTCACTGGATCCCTCACATGGCTAGCGATGTGCTCATGGCCCTCTTCCGAATAGAACTAGAGCAGCACGTTTCTGAAATCGCATGGTAGTTTTGTCTCCTCCTAACCTTTTTCTGCTTTCTTTCAATAACATCAGCATTGTACAATTTAAATGTTAATTAATTTTAGGAATTCAGCTTATTTCGTTTATAGTAAAGTTAAGATCCACTTTGTTAATCGGTTAATTTCCTAAGTTTTTTTTTGTTTAGTGTTTGTTAGAGCTTGGTACTATGTTTTGTTATAAGGTTTTACTATAATATAATTACGCTTTTGAATAATTCAATGCCGGTACCAGACTCAAAAATGCGCATTGGATTAGTTTTCTCCTTTGTTGCAAAAACTGTAGGTGTCTTGAGTTATAAAAATGGGTTTTTGGTCGCGGTTTCAACAAGTTTGACGCCGAAAGGTAACTAACAAGCCATTTTTGAGCCGTTAAATTATAACCAATATAAGTTTTCTTGATTTCTATTCTTGAATGATTATGATTTAGGGGCAGTCGCATTGGACATTTTCTGACAGATGGAGTGGAGATATAGAGAGGAATTTGAAATAATCGGTGGAGAAATTGCAAAGTTTCGAGTTTGAAGCAGTTGAGATATGCCAACATTTAGCAGGCCGGTACCCGAAACAACTCTTCTGGATCTATAACAACAGAGAAGATTCATTCTTCGCTGCTCCTCCAACTCCATGACTTGAGGGAATAATCCTCATGGTGAACATGTTCGTTATGATGGACCATAAATTTTTATGGTATAAGTCAACAACAGCTAGTTTCTTATGATAACGGTTTTGTTTTGTATGTTTTAGGCCGGATTGAGATGTAAACCGGAGATTAATCAAAGTATTGGACGAGAGGAATCTTGGCTTTTTAGATATACAGTGAGATGAATGATCATATGCACTATGATAATAATTGAAGTAAAAGAACCGAAATCTTTTGTTGATGAAAGAACGGTTAATTCGGTTTAGTTCTAAACCGGTTTATTGCAAAACTCGCAAAGAATCTTGGTTTTCTTAGGGACTAATTTTGCTTTTAGGTTGTAAATGGAATATACATAAATGATATGGATTATGAATGATAATGATTAAAACATCAGATTCGAATATTTGTTAGTGAAGGAATGTTTAATTCGGTTTAGCTAAACCGGATGATTACAAGTCAAAAATAAAAATGATCTTGAAACGGAAAATTGCAAAACCAGGAAAGTATGAGAGAAACAGGCTGGAGATACTCTGCTTCTATTTTATCCTCCTCAGACACAGCTTAAGAACAGAAACATTAATTAACCGTTTCTCTCGTTAAACCTCTATTTTAAAAGATTTCTTTACCTAAAAACAAATTAGCAAAAGACAACGCACCAACCAGTGATTTAGAGTTTTAAGACAGAGAGATTTGTGTGTCAGGTGGGTCCCAAGCCGCCCGGGCCCCACATTCCATGAGGCATGCCTTTGCTATTTAACCAAGCAATAGCTCTTCTCATGTTCTTTCACCAATCGGCAATTTTCTTGATTTCTTGTGAGATTTCAACAAAAAGAAGAAGAAAAAGATTCCCTCGCCGGAATAATCACCGGAGATAAGGAAAAAGAATGGCGTCCCTGAAATTTCCGTTGGAGATTCTCGCCATCTTCATCATCATCTCCGTGATTCTCTTGCCGATTGCTCAATCGCAATCTTCTTCGCCAGCTCCCGCACCCACCAGCGATGGTATAATATATTCATATATAATCGTCTATTAATGTAACCATTTTGGATCAAAAGAAATCTTTAAGAAGAATTTGATTTTTGATATTGTTTTGATTTTGGCATTTGGCAGGAACATCGATAGATCAGGGGATAGCGTATGTTCTAATGATGGTGGCTTTGGCGTTGACTTATTTCATTCATTGAACTTGATGGATCCTCCAGTTTGTTCTTCCTCCCACAATAATTTTGTTTTTCTAGTGTTTGTGTTCTTAATTATTTGGTTTTATTATATGTGACGTGAAATGTGTAGAAAATCAAAAAGAAAGTTAGGTTTTGGACATTATGCTTTGTTCTGTATTCGTGTATAATTATTTCTTCTTGTTGCATGTAAAAGCGTAATTATTATAATAATATATTCTTCAAAAGAAAAAGGAATCGTATTCTCCGTCTACATGTTTTGTGTTTTTCGCTTTTATATTAAGGATAAATAACCATCGAAAAAGCAAAAATTTATGAGGTCATTTTCCGGTCACCATCACTATAATAACGAATTCATAATTAATTTATTATGTGGTGTCAAAAAATTAAAAAAATTGTTCTCTCATTTTTAAAAAAAAAAACTTATATTAATCCGGCTTGTATGTGAAACAAAACTACTTCGCATCTTACATATTTTTTCAAACCGTAAATTCAACTTCCAAAAAACAGAGGTGTAGCAACAAAAGCATAAAACCGTTACACATATGTGATACGATTCTTACATAAAGTGCGATTATATTAAGAGGTGAAGGACATGCGATTAAGTTTATAAGCTGCAGTGACGGACTCAGCGATGCCTCCAGGAATAATATTGTTGAGAGGAGAATGAGTGAGCTCAGCCTTAACCGCTGCTTCTGCGTCTTCACTTGTCACTGATCTGTCTCTCGTTACCCTTACATCAATCTCCGCGATAACGTCACGCAGTTTCGTCTTCTCATCTTTTTCATCTATTTTCTCGTTCCGAGAAACCGCCGCTTTCGCCACGGTGGTTACACCGCCAGCCTTCTCTACGTCGTCTCCGGTAGCTCTGGCTTCCACCTCTTTTATGGCAGCTACGTCGGTGGTTTCAACCGGTTTGTGGCCAACGTTAATAGCCGCTGCTTTGAGAGCCTCCGTTAAGGTCGTCGATCTTCCGACAAGTGCTTCGGCTGCCGTTGAAATTTGCTCTGTAGGGCCTACAAACTATAATCATACAAATATGAATGCGTTTGCGATTACACGAGAGAACAGATATCAGTGAATTGTGTACATTGTCAAAACAGTAACGCTTTTATCAAGTATATATATAGATGCAACCGGTCAACAGTAAACGCAGACGACACTTTTTTTTCTTCTATTTTTGTCTGCGTTTGGCGGTTACGTTTCCAGTTTACCATTTAAATTGTGGATATAGTAACATTTAAATTGTGAATCTTCAAATTTTTGTTTTTTTTTGGCAAAAACACTCGATAAAATATACTACCATTTTATTTACGAAACTGATTTCGTCATTTTTAGCTTTTATCTACTTAATATATCTGTATTATTTGTTGTTGAATATATAAATATATATATATATTTGACCTGTCCACCAGAACTAGATTGTGAGACGCTGAAGTGCTCTTCCACAGAGACGTTGGAGAAAGTTTCACCATCTTTGACTGAATGCATAGTTTCAAAGTTCTTCGATCTTCTTTCGTTTCTTCTTATTATTTTTTTTTTTTTGTTGATTAAATCAGAAACCGGGAAAGTAACAATGAAAACCGTTCCGTTACGTTTTATCTCCAACTCAAGTCAACCCCACCAGACACCAGACTAACTTAGAACTGACACGTTGGCTTCTAGCAGTCCACGTGTCCATCTTTGGATGTTTCTAAGACAGTGACCCTTCGATGCATTTGTGAGACCGGAGGACCAACGTGGATTTACACGTCACACAGACCCTTCGATGCTTTGGTGAGACTGAGACACACCAACGTGGATTTTAACAGCCATGAATTATACTTTTGGGCCTCACATATTAGAGCCCAAATAATTAACACGTGCATAGTCCGTGCCAGATTGTACCCTTTTGCATTTCCGGGTCGGGTGGGTTCCGACCCGGTTCCGAAATCAAATTCACCGGAGCGCTAATTTCAGTCCACAATTAAAGTGGGGGAATTTTTGGAGGAGGAGGAGAAGTATTTTTTTTTCCCTTTTCTGGCTTTTTCCCTCTTTTTTGCTCGTCACTTTTTTTGGTCATGAAATGGGAGAAATGGAGATCGAAGAAATCGAAGCTGTTCTTGAGAAAATCTGGGATCTACACGACAAGCTCAGCGACGAGATTCACTTGATTTCGCGGTCTCACTTCCTCAAATCCGTCAAACCTTCAGCGAGATCGGAGAAGAGGAAGAGTCAGGGTTTAAACTCCGGCGAAGAAAACCGTCAGGGTTATGTCTTCATCAAGGGATTCGCTGTCGACGATAACGACTCCACGATTCAGGAGGCGAAGAGCCTGAACGCAATCCGAACCGCGCTTGAGAACCTCGAAGACCAGCTTGAGTTTTTCCATGTGAGTTTCGTTTCCTCCGATCGATTTCTGTTCGACATTTGAGTTGCATTAGTTTCCTTGCTATGAGCGGAATTGAGAGACGAAGGTGCTGTGAAATTGGGAGAATAGCTTGTTTATCTTAGGGTTTTAGCTGATTTTTGAGCAGAAAATAAGCAAATCCTTCTGCTAGATGGAATATTCAACGTTCCTTAAACCGATTGAATTCTGCTTGTTGATTGCTGAAGAAGCAGCTCATTGTTAAGCCGATTAATGCCAATTCAAGGTTGCAATTGATGAGAGTCAATGACCAATTGCTTTTTCTATATGAAGTTGCATAGTTTTTTTGTTCTTTTAGCTAGAAAATCATCGTATAATGCGGTTCTGAGGATTTTCTATTTCACACTCTTTGTTCATGGAATCAAAGCTTTGATTGAGCTGTAAAAAAGGTGATGAAACAAGGACCAAATCTAAATTCAGGGAGCTTGTATATACGTAACATTTGCTATATTCTTATGTAAGCTCAGAAGAATTAGAGATGTGAAAGTGTAGAATCATTTCGCAGCACATTATAGACACATGCGTATTGTTCATAGACTGATTTAGACCAAAGAACAGGAGTGAAGAAGCTTTTTTGCATAGATAGAAAAATCGCATTTTTAGATTTCTACTCAGTTTCACTATGTGTTGTTTACGACCTGAACCTGAGATCTTACCATTTGCTTAACCTCTGAAAAAACAATATCTAACTCTTCTTTGTCTCTATGCTCTGCAGACTATACATATACAGCAACGAACAGAGAGAGATGTGGCGGTTGCAAGGCTTGAACAGAGCAGGATTATACTAGCAATGAGATTGGCTGAACACCATGGCAAGAGCTACGGAGTTCTTGAGGAAGCTCTTGCATTCGTTGGGAGCATCAAAAGCGCCGCTCATTTCGTTTCGCCTGATCACCTTTACAGTTCCTCACCGAACCCAACCGGAGCAAACTCTACTCCTTCTGATGGGAACAAGTCAAACTTTGTAATCAACGCCTTTGCATCGACTTTCGGGTTTGCTAAAAGAGCACTTGGATTCAACCATGTGAGAGGCGTACTTGGAAACGCCGCTATATTCGCCATCAGCATGGTCGCTATGCTACATTTTCACCAAGTGGGTACTAGTGAGCATCATCTACAGAAGAAAGAAGATAGATTCTACAGAAACCAGAGGAAAACGTACAGAAGAGAGATTTCTTCATCTGACACAAGCTTGGGCCACTTGGACGTGATGATGGCTCGTGGTTAAGACCAGAGATCGGACTTGTATACACGTGATGATACTCGGATACATTTGCTTGCAGCAGAGGAATAAAAGACAGTGAAAAACCAAGAAGAGAAGAGATAGTTGTGTTTGCTCTCATATGGTCTTTTTTTTTTTTTGGTTTGCTTCAGTTGCAAATATTTGGTCCTTTCATCGTTCTCGTTTTGATTTTAAATCTCTGTGGTTAAAGGTTTGTTTGTTTGTTTTGTTGGTTTCAAGTGGTAAGATTTTTTTTTGTAATCACAAGTTAATTAGTTGTTATGGCCTTAACAAAATACTTAATGACTACTTGACTAGTGCAAATTGTATTTATAAATGTAAAATTGTATAACTAGAAATGAGTAAACACCTATCTGTTTGTGTCCGAACGATATATAGAAATGAGTAATGATAAAATCATTAGGTATGATTTTGTTGTTACATCATCATATTCAACGTTTAAAATTGACTATATGAGAATCTCTTAGCAATACTGTATGTTCATTGAAACAAAATCGTTATATATATGTTATGTGTTTCTTTCAATCGTTATATATATGTTATGTTCATTTGATGTAACATGTATATCTTCTATATTTTAGAGTCGAGATATCCATGTTCTCTTTGGTTATACCACATATATAATATATATACATCTATATATAAACAATAGAATTCAGTAAAATCATTTCTCTCTCACACACATAACTTCTATATTACAACAAACTGAATTTCTCTCTCAATTCCACTTTTTTCCATCGTTCAACTCCAAACTTTTCTTCCTAACTTCTTCACAACTCATTACAATTTCCTCCTCTCCCAAAAAGATTCTCTTTATATATAACTACACAAGAAAAGAAATGTTCAAAAAAAAAAAAAAACTACACAAGAAAAAAAAGATTGATCAAACTTTTGCAAGATCAGGCTGATTCATTTTATAGACCATATATAGGAATGAGTAGAGATGAAAATATTAAGTATGATTTTGTTGTTACATATAATCAACGTTTAAGGATGACTATATGAGACATGTAATGGATTTGCATTCTCTTTTGCAATCTGTTCATTGGAACAAAATCATTTTGGATGAAGTATGTCTTATGTGATTCTTTCAATCTTTCCATATGACCTTTAATAATTAGATTTATGGTTTTTATAAAACATGTAAATCGATCTAATCACGACCAAAAGTAGGAATATTGCAAAAACATATTTTTGTTTAAAAACAACCTACATATGGACTTTCACTGGTAATGCTTTCAAGAACATTTCTAAAATATTACACACAATATGTTCTACATTTTTTTTTTGTCTAATATATACCATTTAAAAAGTTTCAACAACATTTTCTTTTATTTGTCCGAAGTTGTCTTTCTGAATACTCTCAAAGACTGCAATTTTAAATCTCTTGATCTCATGTCGTTTTCATTTTCTTTATTGTCCTGTTTCATATGCATAATAATTTATGTTTGATTTTCTTTGTTGATTGCAGTGAACTATATATGTAGTCAGTCTTTAACTCTCTTCACTTTTCACTTTTGGATTGCCCTATGCTGCTATGCATTCTTGACAAATTCTCTTGTAGGCTATAGTGGCGAGTATATTAGGCTATCTAAATTTCCATAATGATTCAGCCCTAGTATGTTTCATCGTAGGCCCATTTACTTTGATGTTGCATCACTATCTATCCCGTAAGGTTATAGTCTAGTATTTGTTATTAAAGTGGAAGAAAAAATATCGTTTTCTTGAAATTGTGTTTCGAAATTACTAGGAAAGTTCCTTAAAATTCCAAAACATCCCTGATGTTTAAAGTGTATTTCTTCTAACAATAATTAAGTGATTTGTTATTAGTTATAATTATGTGAATTGTGATGTGAACAAAGCTAAGATAAGGGGGAGAATAAGGTATATGCGGCAAATAAAGGAGAGAAATGTAATGAGTCCAAATTGGTGGGATAAAGGAAATCATAATGTGAATATATCAAAAAACACTTTTTCTTAACATTTGTTTTGTCTCTTTTTATTTTCCCTCTCTTTGTGTTGTTCACATAGCTTTTTCTCTAGAGGCTGTTTTAAACGTTAAAAAGTATTTCTTCTTTCTCTTTCTATCTTTGTGTGCTGTCCCTTTTTCATGTTATAAGCATATGTTTATCAATGCGGTTTTAGACACGAATTGATTTTTGTAGGTCTCGATTTGCATTTTGGGAAATGACACCCCCAAGTTCTGTGTAAATATGTCAACCCAATATTTTTGCCTACGAAGGTTAAGACCGCTAACAAAAATGTACTTTTTCACATTATATTATTACATCTAGTATTACATAAAAACTAGTCGAAGATAATACAAATCTAAATGATAGTCTAAATGTTTTTGTCTACAATGGTTAGACAGCAAACAAAATACTTTTTCACATTTAGATTACATCTACTCTACGTAATAATTAATTAATTATTAGTCAAGATAATACAAAACTAAATGATAGTCTAAACGTGTAACAAAAAATTATTTTTCTAACAAACATATTATTATTTTTTCATTGGAATAGCATATATGATTTTATTTTTATCATTGGAATAGCATGTATGATTTTGTAAGATTGTGTAATTGACCCCGAATAAAAAACTATAAAATTATGTTTGTCAATTTGTCACTTCACAAAGTATGAATCTGTATGTGAAGTTGATGACTTTAATTCGTTCTCTACCTGTTTTAGATTGGAGACTAAAAACTTTTTTTTTTTGTAACAAGTGAGAACTATTTTTAGTCAGACAACAAATAGTAATGATAGCCAAAGTCATACTTGTAATCCCCCAACATAATCATAGTTTTTTTTTTATCCTTTTTATTCTTTTTTTTTCCTCTTTAAAATATTAATTAAAAACGAGTTTACATAATCTTCTTTAAAAACTTCACTTATACATAAAGGAATGAAATTGTAGACATGAAAGGAATTATTTTCAGGAAATATTGTTTTTGATAAAATATCAGTTACTTTGTTGGCTTCTCGTGGTACCCACCTGAAGGCTACGTTGAATTTCTATGTCCACCATCGAATATTTCGAATCCAGTTATGATATGTGAAGTTAAGGACTTTACCTGTTACCGTATCAAACATTTTTTTGCAGTCACCCTCAAATATGATCTTGTTGAAACCTCTGCTCCAGCAGAATTGCATAGCCATAAGAAGAGCTTGTAGTTCACCTTCGAATGCTGAACGTGGTTGTTTTTGCTGTGATTGTCCTGCTCCTTTAAATCTTCCTTGTTCATCTCGTATAATCCAGCCAGCTTGTACTTCTGATTGATTATTAATAAAAGAATCATCATAGTTACATTTTAACCATGAAGTTTCTGGACGTCGCCATTTCGTATTTTGTGCTTGCATTCTATTCGGTAACCTTTGTCCATGATTTAGTCTGATGGCTGAAATGTCCTTTATTTGGCTTGTAAACGATGAAAATTGCGGCTCATCTCTTGTATTGGAGTACTCATCAAAATCAGTCTTTGCGTGTTGCAAAGTTTTCATCCAGGAGAGATGTTTATGTTGAAATACTCGTATAATTCTGCTTTTCCAAATACGCCAAAGTATCCAAATTGGTAGTTCCCCAAATTGTGTAGTCATGCCTTCTTGTCGTATGCATACCTGGATTTGATTTGATAGTGTCGATATAGGGCCCCTTATTTGTGGTGGTTGGAATCCAGCAGCCCTCCAGATAGCTTGCGCATAGAGACAGCTAAAGAATGCATGTTGTGTTGTTTCTTCCTCCAAATAGCATCGTTTACAAATAGTATCCGTTTGAATATGCCGCCGCCTGAGATTTTCCCCTAACGCTAGGGATCGTGATTCAAGTCTCCATAAGAAATGCTTTAATTTTAGGGGAACATTACACTTCTAAATTATAGCTTTTATATTTGTATCCCCATCAGGAGGTTGAAGCGGTGAAATGTGTGAACTGTGAGAAGCTAACCAATATCCCGATTTCACCGTGTATATACCTAATTCATTGTAGAACCAGCCGAACAGGTCGTTACTTCCCGTAGAGAATATTTTTTGGTGCAATACATGTTGTACGTCTTCATCCGCAACAAGCATTTTAATCTTCTCTTCATCCCATTCTGTTTTTATTAAATTCATCAAACACGAAACTAGGCACGACAACTCTGGTTGGTGGCGTGGTCTTGGGGGCCTTGGAGGGTGTAGTGGAAGCCATAGGTCTATCCAAGTTTTGATTGTGTTACCATCTCCTACTATATATCCTAAACCTTCGCGTAGAAGCTCTTGTCCATGCCATAGTGAGTTCCATATATATGATCTGTGATTTGTCTTCTTCCCATTTAGTATTGTCCCTTCCGGAAAATAACGGCCCTTGAGAATACGAGTCAGTAGACTACATGGTGTTTGAAGAATTCTCCAAACTTGTTTAGCTAGGAGAGCTTTGTTGAAGTGTTCTAGATCACGGAAACCTAAACCTCCTTCTCTCTTTGGGATACTGATCCGCTTCTATGCGTACCAATGCATTCCTTGTTGTCCTTTTCCTTTACCCCACTAAAATTTTGCCAAAATGGTATTGATCTCCTTTGTAATGTGTTTTGGTAATCAGAAAACGTTCATTGAGTACACTGGCATTGCCGTCGCCACCGATTTTAGCAGAGTTTCTTTGCCACCTTGTGATAAAAATTGATGATTTCATGCTGTAGTCTTGGTTATTACCTTTTCTTTGATGTATTGTAGCATGTCACACTTTTTATTTCCAAATTGCTCTGGAAGATCCAAATATTTACCTCCTCCTCCGTCGTTGTGTATGTTCAACAGATGTCTCATCTGTCTCTTCACTTGTGGTCGGACTTTGCTTCCAAATGTAATTGCAGACTTGTTCAGATTAATCACCTGGCCAGATACTTGCTCTTATAGTTGTAGTATTCGTTGTAATTCTCGACGCGATCTTGGGTTTACCAATTAGAAAAATAGGGAGTCATCTGTGAAAAGTAGGTGACTTACAGCAGGGGAATTGTTACTGATTTTTATTCCTTGTATTCGTCGCTCTGTTGTAGCTATTGTCATTAAATAAGATAAGACCTCAGCGCAAAGTATAAAGAGGTATGGGGATAGGGGATCCCCCTGACGTAGTCCTCGGTGTGGTCTGATAAGACCTTCTACCGATCCGTTGATCAATACCGAGTAGCTAACACTTGTTACACAAGTCATGATCCACCCGATCCATTGTTCTGTAAATCCTAGTTGGCGCATTGTTTCGGAGAGAAAGGACCAATCAAGTCGATCATAAGCCTTGGTGATATCTGTCTTTATAGCCATATAAGACAAAGCCTGTTGTTTTCGGACCTTCAAGTTATGGTATACTTCATATGATATAATGAC